TTTTTTTTTAAGTTTGTCCTGTCTTACTAGAGGTCGTGTGTGGGCCTATGTTTTTAGCTGATCTTCATTACTGTCTTGCTCCATGACAGCAGGAGCTGTGTTTATTCTGTATTCTCTACCCTGACACTAGCTCAGCCAGCTCTAAAAGGATCCTTCTAGACAGAATATACAGAAGGTCCCTCTTTGTGGAGTAGGAATTCCCCATTTCTTGGGGACATAAAGATTATTCTGAGTGTCTTCCTACATTTTGTGCTTTACTGCAAGTCAAACTAATTTGCTTGGGAGTCAGTAACCAAGTCTGTGCCCAATTTCTGAGTTAGCAGATTCAATTAGACTACTCTGAGAAGGTGCTTATGATGTAAATAGATACCTACTATTGGAGTTGCAAGTGATATGAATGTAATTTTTGCATATGTGTCAATTTTATCTTAACTTATAGAACTAAGAACAGCAATCCATTAGCAGATCTGAATGTCTATAATACTCATAAAATTAATATTTCACAAAACTTACTCCACTTGATAATCTTGTACTTTCGATAGTTCCCTTAAATTTTCTATTAATTTCTTAAACATACTTTTCAAGTAAACATTCTCATTTCCCAAGAATGAAGGTCCCATTTTTGAATCATATTAAAAAGCACAAACATAATTTTTATTAGTCAAAATAAAGTATCGTCTTGTTTTTCAGGAGCCTCAATGAAATATTGTCTAGAGTATTTTCAAAACATTTACAAGGTCAATTCATTTGGTGATGGTCTGAGCCTGTAGATCACTTTTCACATTTTAATTCTGCAACTATTTATTGTTGGCCTCTTGAAATCCTTCATGCCTTAACTATCATTTAAGTCTAGTATCCTTGCACATTTTCCCCCCAGTATTTATCCTAGCCATGGTACTTTATCAAAATTATTGAAGTAGCTCATAAATTACATTACCACACATTTGATCCCTTACATTATTACTCCTACAAATGAAACTCAAAGAGCAGTAGTGTCTTGAGTATCTTGCAACTCCTGAATGTTGTCATCCTCCACAAAGTGTGTGTAATGACGTACCCCAATTTCCAGTATTTGTTTTCCCTCCAAATGTCAAAGCTGTTAATGTAAAACCTCTGAATTGAAGACAGATTTTGCTTTCTGTTAAATTCAGTGGTCTCAAGCTGTTATCTTGAAATCCTTTGCCCTAAGTTAGAAATAAGATATTTAGCACTTTTCCTTTAGCATGATATCAACTGGTAGTTAATAATGAAACCATGAGAGGAAGTTTATCATACCAAAGGAAACTGCTTTTCATATCTGAATAGTTTTAAGCTGAAAACAACTGAAAAATGTAGTTGTTGCCTTTGGTCGTGCAAATTTCCTGGTAACTGGGGTAACAATTTTTTGTTTTGTATTCAGTGCTGGCAAGATAAAGAGTAGAAAGATCACACTTACTTAAAACAGGACTATAAGCTTTTTCCTATCTCTCAATAAATGATACAAGTTGGCTAATTTTGACTCTGATGAACTCTTTCAGATTTAGACTTTGGACCAAAAATGAGAGCTACTTGATAGGATGTTTGGGCATTTGAGGGCTCTCAGTTGAAGACAAGCTAGAAAATTGTCAATTAGTAATTGACATTCATTTAGAATCAGATTTCGACCACCTTTGGAGAATGAATGGCTTCACATTTGAAGGTACAAAGAATCAGCAATCTAATAGGCTGAAGAGGTTTGAGATTTCCATCAGTCATGAATTAAAATATGGGAAGTATTTCTCTATTCAAAAGATGCATTTTAAAAATCCATAGGTCTTTTTCACTCACTTGACAATAAAACTAGGAGACTTGAGTTCATTTTTAGCTTTATTACACATCACACACATGTGCACTAACCAAAGTCTACTGATTTCTGGACTCTTAGAAGAAATCTATCTCAGCTCCTTCTTTTTTTCCAGTGTTGGAATAGCAAAATTTGGGGCTTAGTTTAGGGCAAAGTAAAAGAAACTACAAAGGCAGTATATAAATGACATGATTATGCAACTTTGTGAGTGGGGTCTAAGAGTCTTCCATTCTTATTTTCATTTTTCATGACCCGTAATATCTCAGCCTGTGAATACTGCACAAGAACTCACTGGAACTCTCTTGTGTACCTATGGAATATAGAACATGTAGCCACCTCCTCTTCTTGGCAGATGTGTGCTTTAACAATCACATCTGCTTTTGGAATTGATGGAAGTATGAGTTACTAAAGAGTTCCTAAAAATACCTCACTTGATAGGTTAGTCACCTCAGCCTTGTAAGCTTACCGAAGTCTCTGGAGAGTATACCATGATATTCCTAGAGCAAATCAAGGTTGGCATGGACATACTCAATCTTTGTTTATGTATAGCCCAAGAGAGAATTTTTCATCAAGGCTTTTTTTGCCAAGCAGGAAGGAACACATATTCTATTTCAATTTTGAGGTAGGTACTATGTAGAAATGAGAACACAAGAGCTTGTTGGATCTGATCTCTGCCCGCCTGTCTAGGCTTGTCTTAATACTTCCCAAATAGCACAAACTAGACACAATCTATAATATGCTATTAGAGCTTTTGCGTATCATTCTTATTTAAATTCAGCACAAGCACTAGTTTTCTGAAAGGAAGTTCAGATTTTTGAGGTGTCACCCTTTTATTTTCTTCTAAAATTCTGGCATTATCAATGATAAATGCTATCACATTATACTTAGTATAAATAATTTCACCTCTCTCACCCACTTCATTTTGAACTACCAGAGAGAAGAAACTGTACTTGTTTTGTCTTCAGTGATTATACACAGTATGCTTTCTATGTTTCTTGAAAAAAAAAAATGGTGAAATATAAATATTCTATTTACAAGTGCTAGATCTTTTTCACAAAACAAGACAGATGTGTTCATTGTGACTTTGCAAACTGGGAGATGCTCTTCATTCAAACTTCTACTGTGTTCTAAGATAAAACTACAAAAATAATACATAATTACAAATTATGTATTATTATCCCCAGCATGAAAGAACTATTTTGAATTTGAAATTTAGCACATACCGGATAGTGCCTGACACAGTTAACATAGACATTAACAAAACATTGGACTTGAATTTAAACTTTTTAACCAGAGATAATTTAGCAGACCACTATGGCGAGGTCTTGAACCTAAGCAAACTGTGAACTTCAGTTACCGTCATCCTATCTAGCCCTGCTGCGAGGCTGTATGGGCAGGTCAGCTGATGCTTACAATGCCCCTTCACCCATATGGCATCTTACCCAACCAAAACTACCAAAAGATTATGAATATTCCATGGGCTTACAACTACCTACACTGCTCTTTGAGTTAGAGATCAGGATTCAGTGGTAAGTCTGAAAAAAAAAAAATATATATATATATATATACATATATATATAATATATATACATATACATATATATAATATATATATATAAAGAAAATGCTAATTGCTTTTCTTCATAGAATCCTATTGTTTCCCCCTACCTCCCAAAGAGCTTGTTTCAAAAGATCAGAATGACTAGTATCAAAAATAAGCTGCTTCCCACTCTGTTCAACATTTATAAATTGCAACATTTTTTTTGTATGTCACCACAAATATTCCAAAGAAATTATTTCCACCTGCTTCCTATGAAATGCCAAATCAAAGAAATGTCTTAAGAGTGATCTAGGCTGTTCTTTCCTTTTCCATACTCGATTTGCATTAGCATGTAAATAAGTGATATAGTTTTTAGGAAGTCTAATTGACACCATAGCAAATGGCCATTCAGAACCTAGAACCTAAAAGGTGACTTACGCTGCATGTATATGCCTTACTCGGGAATAAAAATCCTACATGTAATGCAAAGCCTGAGAGAAAGTTCAATGTAGGAATAATTATAACTCAAATCCCTGTCTAGAGCAAAATTTACCACTTTTAATCTGCTATAGGCAAGTCAAAAATGTAAAATGAACAAATATATGGACAATCTATATTCCCTTTTATCTTTTCCAAAAAAGCAGGCAATGTGTAAGAAGCTTTCTTAGATGGTTCTTCAAGTAGTTAAAGCAGTTTTTAAAAATAGGTGGCTTTCAGTTCCATACTTTTGTTTCTGCAGACAGAGCTATTAACAGACTTACTTTAATAATGCTAAGTAATTTTGATTTTTTAAAAAAAGGGCTTTATACCCTCATGAATAGCTAAGAATATCTAATTAACACTGTAATGCTTTTTATTTAATATTTTAAGTTGTTAAGTTTGAAATTTTAAGTGAATTTCAGTTGAACCTTAAGAAATGTTAACATAACGTTATAACTGCTCTATTATAAAGTATATTCCCAACATTTCTTTTGACTCAATTGAAAATTGCTGAAGTCCTTCCTTTATTATGAGTTCAAACAAACTTAAGCCATGGCATATGGGTAAACAGATTTGAAAACTATCATAACCTATTAAATTATGACAGATTCCAGTTCAGGTGGACATACAAAACATGAACTAGATTTAAAGTGCGGTATTAAAAAAAGAACACACCACAAAACGTTTGTTTTGGGGGCAATTAAGGTAAGTGTTTCATTTTTAAAAACCTGTCATTAAAAAGAATGAAAAACAAAAGAATCATATTCCAATCGTTCCATTTTGCTCTTTTCATTCTAAGAATGTAACCTTTTTCAGAGAACAGTTAGCTGGTCAAATTTATACTTAAGACATTTATTCGTATTTGACCAGAGAGGTCTCGTAGGCAATAAGTGCACTGGTAATTCTAAATTCCTTTGTTTAGTATGAGTACTTTCCCAATTATTACCCTTAAGCTACATCTCATTTATCTTTCTTCTTAAGAACTGTATTGGTTTACTGTAAATAGTTTAAACACCTGTAGTAAAGGAGTAAGTTTGCTAAACGCAGAGGTACTCTGGTTGATCAAAATGGTGTGGCCAGAGAACAAGCAAGCTTTACATTAAATATGAATGCAGTCCTTACCAACACAAATTGAAACTTGTTTTTTCAACTAAAAAAACCTTGTTCAAAAAGTCTCATTTTATAAAGATTTATCATTTCCAAATCACAGTGAAAGGAACTTGAGCTATTTACCAATTTTGTTTTCTACTGTGCACTCTGAGATACCTTACCAAAAGATGGTATCTGACACAACAGAATGACATATGCAGAATGCAATATTATAGTGACAGTACTGAGGCTGTTACAGACATATTAAACTCTTGAATATTAAATGATTACATCCTAATTATAATATTGGTCCAATAACAAAAATAGAGAACAGCAGCTAGAAATTTATCTCATTCAGTGTTCTGAGATAAAAGAGTAAACCATTCTTTCCATTATTTGCTGTTGATAAGTCCTTTTCTTATGTTGAAATCTGATGATTATTAAATTCTGGCATTTCGCCAAGCTACTGTATGAAAAGGATGCTGAAGGCCATCACTATACAGCACACCGCCACATAAGGACTCTTGCGCTCACCTGTTGGGGAAAAAGGGAAAATATTTATGTTAATTAGCTAAGTGGCTAACACAGATAGGATAAAGTTATTATTTCTTACTCTGACAGCAGAGGTACAAGAGTCAAGATAAACTTGCCTATGAGGCACACTGATTTGAGGGGCAAGGTGAGAAATACAGAACAAAAACTAAATGTAACATAAAAATATAATAAAGGAGTTAAGCTATACCATTTCTTTTTCAAGACTACCCTTTTCATGTATTTAGAAAACCTATATACCATTCCTGTGCAACTGTGTAAACGGGATAAACCAAGATAAACAGTAAATAGTTCATTTCAGTGCATTCAATGCAATTCATTTTTTCCTGTAAAATGGGAAATTTTCACCCGTAGAAATTCAACATAGCATTTTTTAGTCATTTCCCCCTCATTGGCAGAACTTCATGAGACTTAAGCAAAAAATAAGAGGGTTATCAATAAAAATGCATTTAAAAACGTACATCAAATGTTTAATAAAAACTTATTTTCAAAATGAAATTTAGTAACTAATCACTTCTAAGTGTGATCATTGTAGTTTATAAATGTAGAACTTAATTAAAACCACCATCTCTGTGTAACTCAGTATTCACAGGTGTTTAGTTTTGTTTATACTTGGAAATGTTCGTTTACATGAAACAACTGAAGTTGGCTTGTGAAATTGTCTTACAGACAGCTTCTATGATTATGAGTTATATTCACATTGTTATTTTCTCCTTTTTGCTGTCCGGATGTACAATTCCACAAAGAACCAGGGCACTTATTTATATGCTGCTTGGAGGGTGCTTATGAGAAGAAGGCTGAAGAGACATTGATGATGTCTTTATTTCCAGCTGTAATCTTGAGTATGTACCTGAGGTCCACTATTAGAGATGGCTTGTACTTGACCTCACCTGTGTTGGCAATGCTGTTTAGTATCAGCTCCTTCCTAGTAACTAAGCTCATTCTTTTCCACAGAAAGCTTAGTGACTATCCCTACAAAAGATCAACCTTGATCAACTAAATTATAACTAAAATTCTCAAGGTCATCTTTTTCAGGCTTACTCACTGAACTCATACAGTTGTAGCTATTGCAAGCTTAATTTCTGTATCTGCTCAATGACAACATTCATAGAAGGTATTACACAGATTCAAATAAGCATTTTTAGTATTTTACTGAAGTATTTTTCTATCCACAGACATTTAACAGACTGTTCTTTAGCTAAAGGAAAATCTACAACAGGAGAGAATAGTGTTTTCATGGTCATCATTTTTAAGCATTGCTTAATTCTTTTGGAATTTGACACCCCCACCCCACCACTCATAAGGTATCAACCAAAACAAACAAAAAACAATCCAGGCATAAATTTCATGAACAAATCTCTCATTCTCATTAACAAATCCAGTCTTACTAAACACCTAACAGAAAATGATAGTGCCTTAAATATTCCATCTGCTGGAAATTAATTTTTGAGGAAGTTCTTCCTCATCCTCCAATTTACAATGCTATACTTTACATATGGGTTTCATTTTCCTGTTTTTAATTTTCTTAAAAGAGATTGCCATGTGGTAGAGCTAAACATCTTTGGTTGAATTTGAGTAAGAATGTTACTTCTTGTCTGGTCTTAACTTAGGTCTGGATAAGTGAATGTGAAACAGTTGCTATAATGTGATATGTAACATGATAAAATAATTTGGCTGGGCCGTTTCCCATTAAAATTGCATCCTTCCTTTCTTTGTGGATATATTTTTTGTCAAGAGAGGAGCATGTGTTTGAGAAAGTTGCATATCACCATCAATATTTTCTGAGCCACTTTGCCAAAATGAAAAGCTAATGTTTTCACATAATTGGCAAAAATGAATACTTTAACTGAACCATTTAACCTATGGCTTTCATACAGTGGAAAGAGGAAAATGGATCTACATTAGCTAGCTCAAAGAAAAAGCTGTTTGTAAGGATATACAACATAGACCACACTATACAAAATCATTAAGAAAGCCCAGTTCCTAACGCCAGACTTTCTGATATCTTTACCAAAGATTATTACTACTCTAGTGCAGTGATATTCTTTATTTCCTCGAACTGTTTTTGTTTTTATATAGCCTTATAATCTCTCCTGGCAGTTTACTTGAGGGATTCTAACCACTCTGGGGTCACTTGAATCACAAGCATTTTGGTTTATAAATATTTACATTTACTATGAGCCATCCAGGGTGCTACTGTCTTTATCTTTCTCTTTTATATTTTAAGTGCTTAACATTTCCTGTTATTTCAGAGTTTATAGCTGCTGAGCATGGCTAAAAAAAGAGAGGTAAGTCTGTACTACAAATCTGTGTAAATCTAGGTCGGATCTTCCCAACTACAATACTACTGCCATCTTGGGCTAATTGTATTATGAGGGGACAGCTGTCCTAGGCATCACTGGATGTATTAACTTCCCAGAGATGCTCACAGTCTAACTACTCTGGTGTGACAATAAAAATGTCTCTGGACATTGCCACATATCCCAATTGATAGCCACTTTTCTAGGCTGTATCTGTGTGTAACCAATCTAAGGTCAATAATACTAGAAAAGTCTCAAGCCTAATCACCATAAGAATAATGAAGGGCAGCAAAGAAACACTAAGGAATTACAAGTCCTGGTGCTAAAAGCACATAGGCCCTCTGGAAGATGTCTGCTTCAGTAGTCAATATATGAAATTGAGGGCCTTGCAAAAAGAACTTTACTGTGAAGTTCTTTATGCTTTTTCTTCATTTTCTACTGTAAAAACCCAAAAGACCAGGAATCTTATGTTATCTATAGGATTCAGAAACGACTTCTATAGTTGCAATTTCCATTTTTTTTTAAAAAATGTATTTATTCATACAGAACTGGGGTACAGGTCAGAGATGCGGAGGGTGAGAGGATTCACCAGAGACACAGTGGGGAGCAGAACAGGCAGATCCATGAATTACACTGCTGAGGGGAGCAGCGGGCGGGTCAGGTGGCAATCGAACTCATGCATAAGTGGCTTTAGCTTCTTAGTGCTGTGCTTTAACCAGCTGTGCCACCAGGGAGGGCCGCAATTTCCTTTTTTAATGGTTCTTGCCTATCATTAAAAGTTCAAGGGAAGAAAATTTGCGGTCTTGAAATTATTTTAGTGGCTAACAACATATGAATCTTAGCTGTCCTGAAGAATATGAAGCTCCTATAAATTTTCAGTCCTGAGCTAGAGTAGGTTACATCTATGACTGACTGCCTTCAGCTATATTGCATTAATTCTATATAGAAAGAAATTTCTAAGATTTATATGAATTATTGTATTGATTTTACTTTTATTATAGACCACTTTCTAAAATTACTACATCTCTCAAAAATAAAAACCAAAGTAAAACAACATTCTAAAGGGAGCACCATTTATCTGAAGCAGATAATCAAATTCTTCATTCTATCTAATGTGGGGAAAAAGAAAGCCTCTATACAGTGGCTGGGAACTATTCATCCCATATGGAAAACAGCATGGAGCTCGCTTAAAATATTAAAGACATCTATCATATGATCCAGCAATTCCATTCCTAGGAATCATCCTGAAGAATGCAAAAGCACTAACTCTAAGAGATATATACACACCTATGTACATTATATCACTGTATGCCATAGTCAAGCCTTGTTAATATTCTAAGTGTCAAAAGACAGCAGTGTGAATAAAGATGTAGTCAAGATATACAAAAGAATACTACTCAGCTCTTAAAAAGGCTAAACGCTTGACTTTGGTGACATGGATGGAACTAGATAGGGTTATGATAAGTAAAGTAACCTAGAAGGTGATAAACAAATACCAGCTGATGTCACTTATACATAGAATACAAAGGTCAGTAAAATCAAGCCAATAACAAACCCTAGAAAGACAACGTTAGAATTGAGATCCCTGAAAAGGAGGGAAATTAAAGTGAGGAGGGGGACTAGTGGACTTTGGATGTCTTGGTGATGGGTATGGTATAGTAACATATACTTAAAAGATGTGATCCTATATCTTTATATAATATAGTGTTAGCCAATGTGTTACCATGATAAAAATATCCCTCATTCTATTTAAACAGGATTAGTTTGGGAAATTCAAGCTTTTGTCAGACTAAATGGACTAAATATTAAAGGTAGCATAACTTTTGTTCATTATTAAAGTCCTGGCATCATTTTCAAAGAAGCCACTGTTACTATTTATTCAGAGTTAGGAAACTACTAAAATGAAACATTTTGGGAGGGGGTGTCTTGTAAATAATTACAAAGACTATTTCAGTCTAAGTGGTATAACTACAAATGCCCTGAAGTGTTTCTTCAGTACTGATACAGGTATAATCTATTATTCAAGACTATTAGTGAATCACAGCAATAAAATACATTTTGTAGAATTCACTTACCAGTAGTTTCAAAGTCCACTATGTGTTGGGCACTTTACTAAATGCTTTATTCATAGAGCTGTGGCAAGCATATATCATCTCTAACTACAGATGCCCTTAATATGTTACTATTCTCATTAAGAAAAATCAGATTACCACATTTACCTTTTTTTTTAAAAGAAAGAAAACTAAGCTTGACTATCACCAATAGGTTCAATAGATGAAACAAAGTCTAAAAGCAACAAGCAACATTCTTTGAATTAGCATACGGCAACAAAGTGATTGTGTTTAAATGGGTTGCTCAGTATCATCCTCAGTATCAAAGTGGCACACATACAGAATGGCATGCTCTTGCATGCATTTATAAAACTACATTTGTCTGCAATCTCATCTTAACCACAAATACACAGCATCTGAAATCTGAATCAAGAAATTTTTTCTTGTATTCTCATCTTCCTGCTAATGAAATGGTTGAATTATCCATCAACTCTAGTTTTAAATAGCTTACAGGAAAGTGGCTGGTGAAACTCTACAGGTGAATAATTTACAACTAACTATGTGGTGATCACACATAGACACTTACCAATTCTGGCACACTTCCAAAATATACCCAACAATCTGCAAAGAACAAAAAGAGAAGTAGCTATTGAACACTGGAAAACGGCTAAGTCCTATTAAACTAGCATTTTAATTTCTGATGTGCTTCAAATGTGAAATTTGTTTTGATGTTGAGCTATATATGAAAGTAGAACACAATAGCATTATGAAACATCACTGTATAGAAATTGTTACAAACTGGAATATATTATGGTGTCAGGGTAAATAAATATGAAAATAATAAAAAAAATTACTCAAGGGCTTACTGTTGTAAGAATGATTTAGTCAATCAAAACTGTGTGTGTGTAAACTGATTAAAATGAAGATTAATTTTGAGGAAATAGTAAATAAACAGTTGGTTCTGATGAATTTTGAAAATAAAAAAATAACTCTTATTAAAGAAATTTCCAAATGAGGCCCTATTATCTAATGACCTATAGCCACAAACTCTAATTATAGCACTTACATAACTGCTGTTATTCAATAAATAGAAACAGAAAAAACATGCTTACGTTTTTAATATAAATTAAAAAATTATGCTATGGGTACACTGTATAAGCTATATATGGCATGTAAAATAATATTCTGGACACAAGATCAGAAGGAAGATATCCATTACAATCTATGATTATGACATAAATATGTATCATAGACACCTGACTAAAAAAAAAAGGCTTATCTATTGAAATGCTTTAAAATATGTGAAAATAAATAAAATCTGTGAAAAGAGGACCTAAGACAAAGTAACAATCTTTTCAGCAAAGCAACAAAAAATTTAAGTTGCTATTTTCAACAGTGAAGCTATAAAGAGATCAAGAGCTCATTTTATCTACTTTGTCTAGAGATCTCCACTTCAGCACGGACAACTCACAATAATGAAAGAAAATTTTATTAGTCTCATGAAAATATGTCTTATAAAAGAAAAATTTCTTCTACAGAAAATGGACTTTGAAATTTATATAAATAAGAACAAAGATCAAATGTTTCAAATGATTGACCCTATCAGTAAATACTTTATAGTGTTAAGAGTAGGCATGCTGTTTCTTTGGCTTTTCATGTAGGAGAAATATACTACTACTCAACCTCTACTGTAAGGCTGGTAGCCCTGAGAACTCCTTTTTTAATGTAGCATGTAATGGATGTACTTCTGCTCCCAAGAAATGAAGAGCAGACATTTCCACATGCAACCTGTTCCTTCTTACACACACACACACATACACACACACTAAGTTTTTAATTACATAATGAAATCTGCCACTTAAATATTTTATTAGAGACATTATGCATTATAGTAGACTTGAATAAAGTTATTATTCTAGTACTAATAACAACAAAAAACTTCTGGACAGTGTTGAATGAATGAAAGGACATTATTTGAGGACCTGGCCTTGTTCAACATTGTTTGGCAGTTTCTAAGAATCCACCTATGTTGTTATGGGAGGGTTTACTATACATTAGCATTCCAAGAAATTGAACATTGTGTTGGTCATTTTTCTACACCCTGTATCCCCCCAACCCCCAAAGGTGTTGGGTATAAATATTCCTATGTGAAACATTCTAGCATTTCATCATTTTACTTCTTAAAATGATTAAGTGATGTACAGGATAGTATCAAAAAAGGATTACGACACTATTACGTAAGATTTAAAATTAAACAACTTAATTTTTTAAAAAAGATTTATTTATGCATACAAGTTCAGGACAGAGGTGCAGGACTAGGAGGATTCACCAGAGACAGTGTGAGGAGCAGAACAGGCAGATCTACTGAAATACACTGCTGAGGGGAGCAGCAGGTGAGACACGAGTGGTCTGCTGTGCCATGTGGTGGACCAACCTGGCAGGAGATTAAACTCCTACAGTGGTGTGGTTAGCTTCATAGTGCTGAGACTTACCCCTTTGCACCACCAGGGAGACTCCAAAGTTTATGTAATTCTTATCATATGATTTTTTAAAATATATTCTTCATTTTGGTTGAATAGCATGTATTTCTGTTTTATGAACCTAGCACATAAAGTTCAAATTAGCAGTTTGTGGGCATGGACTTAAAAGGGCAGTGACATGTTTATTTTTTATTTCTGTTTAAGTTAAACTTTCCAAATACATCTGCTTTAAAACACAAGACAGGGAGCCTATATAATTGTATGGGAGAAGGAGTGTCTTTATTATTAATATTTCTGTGGACACAATATTTTCAACCTATTCAATGCTTTCAAATTATGATAACCAATTTCATTAATGATTCTATAGAAATAAAGCCAATCTCTTTGAAGATTTGAAATTGTATTTCTAACCCCAGAGAAACAATCTGTCAAATTTTTAAAAATATACTTATTTTCCATGTAATATATTCCCAGTCACTTCTGATATCTATATTTTTACTTAGCAAGAGAATAAAAATAGAAGTTAGTGTTTTTAAAATCAGTGGGAGAAAACAATGCAAAAAATTATTATAAAACTAAGTTACATATAGGTATTAAATTATTTAATGACTTTTGTAGTAATTTATGTTCACTCTATGTAAGATAATTTGGGTGATTAGGCTGCATAAGTAACATACCCAGTTTTATTTCTGTCCAGGAGCCTGGGTGCCAAAGATCGGATGTAAGCACAGGTACAAATAAGCAGCAAGATTACAGTCAGAAGACTCTGAAAATTGAAAATGGCAGACTAAAAAGAGAAAAAGAAAAGTTAGTATCACAAAGAAAACTGTATACATAAAAATTGTGCGATAATTCCATATTAAGAGTAATACTTTTTCTCTAAACCACAGTGCACTTTCCATTCTTTGGAATAAGGAATATGGAAGATGCAACAAAAATTCTAAATTAAAGAATGTGAAGGTACAAAAATGTCATGAATACAAAATTGTTGACCAAAGATCAATATGAAATTAATACAGATGTTCCAGGTACCCAGCCTGGACTACTAGGTAAAACATGGAGTCAATTATCTCTTCCAGTAGCTGGTTATCCAACCTCACTTAAATCATTAATTCTCTAAGTCTGTTTTCTATCTGTAAAACTTAGTGGTGAGTAGGGAGTTAAATATTGGCTAAGCTGTTTTTCATTTCTGAAGTTTCTTTAGCAAAAAATGCTCTAAATTAAATAAATTATGTTTCATACACTAAATAATAGGCTATTAGATTTTGGTGGAAAGCACTTGTCCATTCACCATCGGTTCCTTAACAGAATTAAAAAAAAAAATTAACACAGGAATCTTTAGAAAACCCGGCATTTTCAGAGTCAAATAGGAAATATCATGGGTTCCAGACAAGGTAAATGATACACTTTCTCATTCAAAATTCAGCTCGTGTCATCTTTTCCAGTTTTCTTAGGCTCATCTTTTCCTATCTTATGTAGGACTTTTTATTTTCATAGCAAACTGTTAGACATTTTAATACTCATCCCTAAAGAGTAGCCATTGTCTTACCAAATTGATTCTCTAACACCTGACTAAAAGTCTGCCACACACTATTCTAATAATTGTTTTTCTACATAAATAACTTCTTGATAGATATAGCAAGGGTAAAAGTTTAATTCCTTTTCTTTTAATTAAATTGGATGTCACTTTTGTGTATGTGAAGCCAAGTGATACATGTAACTTGAAAAAAGTCAATGAATGAACTAAATAAATCCTACACAGAAAACCGTACCTCACTATGCTTATCTTCCACAGGTCATATTTTAAACATGTAGAGGAATATTAATACACAATATGTGTTAATAGCCTCATGAAATATAGAACACAGATTTCTTTCCAGTCAACACAGTAACAACTATTTAATATCTATTCTGTCTAAGGTATGAGGCGAATCATGGATTAAAAAAGCACACAGCATGACTCCTTCCTTGTAGGAGTTTGTAGAGAACAGCAATAGCTGATATTCACAAAGTTCTTGCTTGTATTACACCTTATTTATCCTCATACATTTGAGGTAGATGTTACTAATGCCCTTATTTTATACATAAGCAACTATACAAACTACAATTGTGTTAGAAAAGGATATATATTTTAAAAGCTACATGTTAACCCATGGTAGTGTCTATAAAATGAGTGAATTGTGCTGATAAATAATAAAGATCAGGAAAAGTTTCAAGGGAAAGTAGGAACTGAGTTCTCCAAAAGGTACAAAGAGTTGGGTAATGCAAAAGATAAAGAATCATGGAAAACTATCTCCACAGAATAAAGAACTTCCATGTTGTTCAGTGAATACCAAGCAGGCATAATATTAAGCAAAGAATTTATTTAGTGAAGTCGCTAGAAATCTGCAAAGTTTATCATTGTCATGAATTTGCATTGTGTCTTCTTTCCTTCTCTATGTTGTTAAAGAAACATGCTGCATGATGTATCTGGGATTGGTTTCTAAATAATCCAGTGTGTGGGGGTGAGGTGGGGTTAGGGTGCATGAAGAAATACTGATTATGAGGGTTTATCATTCTTCTTTCTACTCTGAATTTGAGTTTGAATTTTTTTGCAATAAGACTTAAAAAGCACTTAATGTGCCTACCTTTAAAGAAGTAGAGTGCATATATATACATACATATTTGTATGTGAAATCATTTATAAATGAAAAGCATTTACAAGTAGGTAATAAACAATACATAGAACTTTGATCCTGGGTTTTATGCTCCAAAATTTAAACAAGTAATCTTAGGTGGTAAAGTGTTTTAAGAGATATTCTAACTTTGGTCATAAGACTTTCAAACACATAGAAATTAGCCTACCTAAGCACTCCTCTTAATGTGTAGCATCTGTTGTCCCTTGATAAAGAATTTTAGTCCCAGGATTAAAAGAAACAGATGTTCCTGTTCAGTAGAAACATAATGGGGATTTTCAATAGACATGCTATTAAAGGGAAGGGAGGAAGCTAAGAAAAAAGCAAGCATAGTCAATCATAAAATAAAGAAAAATGGTGATAAGAAAAGTAAAAAAAAATTCATGTACTATGTTTAACTTCTTCCAGATACTTTAGATCATGAAATCTTTTTCAAGGCACTACATGTTTTTACATACATAATCTATCTTGACTGCCTGGTGAACTGGCTCAACAGTCTCAACTCTAGAACCACTTGCGCTGTAAAGTCTTCCATGTATCTATTCTCCACACAAAGCAGGACCTTTGTACGTGCATGTGATATAAAGATACCTGCCTATAATAGCACCCTTGACTGTACTATAATCATCTCACTCTGAGGTCCTACTAAATTCAGTGTGCCTGTTAAAATAGTGCTCAGTAATCACTCACAAAGAATGAACAGAAACTGGAAAACAGCTGCCATTAAAACTTCTTAAATGCAAGAGCATACTTAAGATTCCAAATTAACAATGCATGTTACAGAAAAACTGTGGATCAGAATAGTGAATATTTTGTTAGTTATTCAATAGAAGCACTGCTTTGCATTCATATTTGCTTGCTCATGATACTTGAAAAGTCTAGAAGGAAAATGCAGATGTCATTATGTTTATGTTAAGGGTCCAAGCCGTAGGATAAAAGAAGGTTTGAGGAACCTTCCTTTCAGAATCAAAATCTTACTTAATTACTAGATGAAATTTAGAAGTCTATCAAGCAGTCCTGAGATATCTGAATAGGGGATAGTGAGCATTTTTCTGTCCTTGCTGAATTTATAAGTGCATTATCTTTAAGAGGTCTGGCTGACTGAGTAGGCAAACTAATTGTCAGAAAATTCTAGAACCTCAATTCTTAAATCTAAGGTTTAATTAACTGTCACTAAGGACACCCGTGTCCTCAACCTATGTTCCTGTGACAGTGTTAGGGAGTTAAAAAGAGAAAAGCTATCCATTTTGACAATTTTAATTAGCTACAAAACACTGAATACAGCGCAGTGGAAGATGCAAGAAGTCATAAAACACAAAATTCATTTCTTTTGGAGGTACTTAGTGAGGACTGTTTTCTAGCCTACTAGAGGGTGCCTGCATTTCTTGGTTAGTGACTCTTTACTTGGACTTTGATGGTCACCTCGTTACAAAGACCCTCCTGCTTACCTCTTTACTTGCCCCTTGTCCCTGTGAATCAAGACAATCACTCCATTCCAAAATTCTTAAAACACATATGAAAAGTCCTTTTTGACTCAGGGTTTTCTGCAGTGGCCTAAGAACAGAAGGTAACCCTTTTGGTTGTGGAATACAACAGTCCTACCTGGACTTTTAGAATTGTGCTTATTCTTCTAAAAAATGGCAATGGCAAGCTCAAACTACCTTTCTTCAAAGGTCCTTTAGCCTTCCCTCCATGCTCTATAGTGATCACATGACTCAAAGGTAATCAGAGCTTTTGATGTACTAAGTTAAAATTTGAATTTGAAAAAAAAAATTCCTAACTTTTCAAGTTAACTTGACTAAGGAACTTAAAGACTTATTAACATTGCCAGTAGTTTTATGCTTGGACACTGAGTTTTGCACTTACCAATATCTGTCCATAATTAAATTATTTTATTTACAGTTATGGTGAAAACTGAATTGATTTCATTACTTCAAAAGCTGTAATTTCTTGTTTTCTGAGTCACTCCTGATTGATAAAAGAAACCACTCAAAACATTAGGAATGGTGGAAGAGAAAGAAGAATCAAGCAGTACAGGTAGGAACAATGAGAAAAGCAGAATTAATGTGCTCATTAATGAATACTTAACGACAGGCTGCTAACTACATTGTATCTCTGATAACTTGACTAAGCTTATTGCATTTCCTCACATAAGCTTATTTATTTTTAGGATTATCAAAAACAAATTGCTTAATGATTTGTTAAAGGCCTTTCTGCATTACACTTTTTCAGGGATTCAAATGTTGACTAATTCTTCCAGTTTAACAGAAATTAAAAAAAAAAAAAGCCCTAAATATTACTCATTTCAATTCTATTTTATACAAAACTTAGTCTGTTCCCCTCTGGAAGGAGAAGGGAACCCAGAAAAGATGCTCCTTACCTAACTGTGATAATCATATATATATATATATATATATATATGTATATATATATATATATTATTAGAAAAGAGGGTCAGCATTTTATCATTTACAAATCTAGGTCAGGTCAGCATTTGTCCAACTACCTTCTACTTGTATATTCATATGTGCCACTGTTATCTCTTTAAATGAAGCAGCATATAGGTAATGGTAAATGTCAGCCTACACATGAGTGCACATACCCCATTTACCTACGCTATGTAACTAAAGGTGAAGATTTCTACGAAAACAGAAATAGTAATAATTTCTTCTGGCATATACTTTAAATCTTTATTGCTGACAAGATAGCAAAATAGTACTTAAGATACTATAAGATAGTACCAAACAGAACAAGTTATATCTTGGTTTACACCGCAAGGATTGCTATCTAAACATTAAGAATATTATCACCTGTCTCTTCTCAGCACAAGTGGCTACCACAGGTTTGTATGTTTGATGAGATGATTAAAGTTCATAAACTTGTTCTTAGATAAATCAGCATCTCCACCTATCAGTTTATTTCACTTGTAAAATGAGAGAATGGACTATTAACTTCTCTGTCCCATCAATCCTACTTCAAATAGGTAGAAAGCCCTTCTTGACTTTTCACTTACAACAAAGAATTTTCATGGCTATAAATAAAGCTACAGTTCAGAGAAGCCCTTCACCTGTTTCCCACTGGCAACAGTGATGATTTGCTATTATTTGCATCTTACTGCTGTGGTACCACCAGTGCATTCATTGTATTTGTGCTGCTTAATTTTGTAGGATATTATTATGGATACCTCAGATCTAAACACAAAACAAGAAAGATGTCAGGGATGTTACTAAGGGAAAGCAATCATATAACTGTAACAAATAATGGACTCTCTCTCTCTCTCTCTCTCTCTCTCTCTCTCTCTCTCTCTCTCTCTCTCTCTCTATGTATCTAAAAAGGACCAGTTTACTTGTCCTGAAAAATGACTTGACAAGACTTAGGACAAAATGCAATACTATCAGGAGTCAAAGTACTGTGACCATGCATTAGCAAAAGACAAGGACTGATAAAATGTAAAAAAGTCTGTATATATGGGCTTACATGGGAGCATTAATCCTGTTTGTTCATTAGGAATCACCTGACGCTTTCAAAAACAATCAACCTCTAGAAATGTGGACATAAATGTGGCATCTATTGATTCTCAAAGCCATTTGGTAGTTTTTAGTTGCAGTTACAAGCCACCATATCAGCACCCACATCAAACACCTTTTAGTCTACTGAAAGGTTTTAAAGCAAGGATAAATGTCAGCCTGTCTGTGAATGCACACACACCTATCCCCTGGGTTTATGAACTCAAAATTACTTTTCTAACATTAAGATACTTCACTTTCTATTATAATGCCATTTGTGTTAACAGCACAAAGCAACATCAGTTTTCACCTGAACCAGCTCCCTTAGCCCACAACAAGAGGCATATCAACTTTGTTTTATTCTTTAATCTCCTCTAGGATTAATGACATTATTATAAAATGTTCAAGATTTGATAACAGAGCTGTTTAAAACTTAGCATCATTATGTATAAGCAGTGTGACTGTGCCAAGACCCTTCTGTACCTGTTTCTGTTCTCTAAACTGGTCTCCAAATTTTAATCTCCCTGTATTTAAACATAACTGCCACATTGGTATTCTAAAATATGACCATTCTTCTCTTTGCTCAAAAGCCTATTTACCAGGTAAGCAATTCAACATCATCAAAATACAGAATCCTTGGTATTGAACAAATCCCTTCCCAAGAATTGGCCTAATCTTTAGTCTCATCTCTCATTCTACCTGCTTAACTTCTATTCTTGCCACAGAACCTTCTAGCAACTAATCAACTTCATTCTCTTTATCTCCCTAATTGCCATTTCCTTTATCTAGCTAAAGGATAGAGAAAGAAATTTCAGTTCTGGCTAATGACTCCTCTAATCTCTAAACATAAGTCAGCTATACTCCTAGTACAGCGGACAGTCAGATTATTCCTTCGTCCGTTCCTAATATTTTCTAAGTGTCTCTGCTTCTTTGTCTGATACTCAGTTTGCCTATAGAATGTTGGCAGTAGCTCCTATATTGCAGGATTTTTTATGATTAAATGATTGTGTCTATTAAATCAGCTAACACCAAAAAGAGGAAGAAATGAAAATAAGTTGCTCAGGTTAAAGGAGGCAATGATGGGAACTGGGAATGATTGTGATCCTATTTGGCTAACTCTAAAAGTTCATGTTCTTTCCACTGTATATACACTATCTTTTTTTTTTTTTTGTAACAGCAGGTAACACATGGGATTTGTCTATTTAATAGTCTACCCAACTGGATTGTGACATTAAAATACTGATGATATTCTACATGACTGCATCTCAGACTCTCATTAATTTAAATACTAACTGACACTAATACTAACTCTGTGACATAGAAGATTTAAAGACCTAGCCTTTACTTGTCGCCATAGAGGGCAAATACAAACAACACCCTATTGCTGTTTTTTTTGTTGTTGTTGCTGTTTGTTTTGTGATTTAAGTGCAGTGCTAGAGGGATACTGAAAAAACTGAATACCTAGAAGGGAGTAGAAGAAAACAGGAGAGACAGGAAGGCAAGGAAGAGATCTTAAGACACATCATGGTTTAGAAGAAAACAAGGCATTCTTAAATTTAAAAAAAAAAAAAACTAATCGGTATATATAATTATCACTCTTTTGTGTTCTGATAATTTTAAGTTATTCCTGCTGATACAAACTTCATGACTTTGAAGTGCTTTTTAAAAAATAGATTCATTAAAGTACAGTAATTGAGATTTAAGCTATCACATTGGTTTAGGTGAGAGGAAGAAACCTCACCAGGCAGCTCTTCTAACTACGATACACTTTTTAAAATGCTGACACCTCAATCTCACAGAGAGCAAGAATGAAAAATTAGTCACCTGGCAATTGTTCTATCACATACACAGGTGAGTGCATATATATTTAGGAGAAATAAATCAGTAAGATACATTTTATCCTCACTACATGACTTCTAACAACAGTTATGAAGATTTCTGGCACTGAGACATTAAACTAAGTTTGAGTTCTGGCTTCACTATTTACTAGGTGTGCTGCACCAGGAATGTCAATCTCCTTGTGCCTGACATACAGCTATTAGCCTGTAAACAACTATTCAGAAGTTTTAAGCCTTAAAAAAAAGCTTCTGATATTTGGAACAGTCTGGCACATTACAAAAGCTAATCAATGAAAGCCACTGTTGGTACTTTTGGGGAAAAAAACAAAACAGCAAAACAGTTTAAATATCATCTGAAACACGGTACAATAGCATGATGTAAAGAGTATACCTGTGACTTGTAATATTGGTAAACTAACAACTTTTTAGGAAGATGTGTAATAGTTTCTCTACCCTTTACAAACTGAAAAAAAAAAATTTAATTTTCTATAGCCATTCCTGGTGGCACAACAGTTAAAGCATAGCACTATGAAGCGATCTGCAGCCACCACAGCGCAAGCTCAATCCCTGGCCAGGTAGGTGACCCACAATCCCTGGCCAGGTAGGTGACCCACAATCCCTGGCCAGGTAGGTGACCCACAATCCCTGGCCAGGTAGGTGACCCACACAGAGGCGCTGACCTCTCCTGGCTCCTCCCCCAGCATCACACTTAAGTCAATCTGGCCTGTTCTGCCACTTACTCTGCTCCCACGGACCCTGTACCTCTGGCCTGTACCTCAGTTCTATATCCATAAGTAAAAAAAAAAAACTTTAAAAAAATATAATTTTCTCAATGAACAGCTTACTAATAACACTCTTTAAGAACAAATGTATCAGTTCAATCATAGGAAGTGTACCAAGGAGTTGGAGAATATCCGTGGCCAAAGAAGGAATAACTTGCCACCTCCTCCATAAGTGGTAAACTTCTCCAGGGAAGAGACTGTGACTCTTGCCCCAGCTATTCTGAAAGTATCACAAAGTAGAATTGTTGCATAAAGTAGAAACAATTAGAGTTCCATTAAACGTTTAAAGTTTTGTGTTGTATGGGATTCTGCAATTTATGGAAACACAAGGTCAGCAAATTTTCAATGTAGAATTTAGGTTTTCGGGGTTATGGTTGCTTCAGATACTATAGTAAAAAGTATACAGCACCCTCTCTCCCCCCAATATGCTCATATTACAGCATATGGCATGTGAACTTTATAAAATCATTAGGGACAGGTGTACAGGATGCTGACATTTATCACAACAAAGGTAAAATGCTTTCAGACACAGCTTGGGGTATTATTATTACTGCATGTCCTATTATTATCACGTGTCTTCGGGTTAGGCTGTCTTTGCCTCTTTTTCTCAGCCAGGAGATTATTTCCTCTGAGGACTTTAGTGACATGTCAAACTTTTCTCTAAGAGAGGAGCAAACTATCAAAAGAATCTGCAATAACACAAAATAATACAAATCATCTTAATAACGTGTGGGGCGGGGAGCAGGAGGCCAGCACTCCTCCAAGGAGTACATTAAGCACCTGGCAGAAAAACCACCCTTATAGAGAATTCCTGGGATTCAAACCTAAGTTTGTTAAGTAGCATCATTAAGGTTGAGAGACGGGCCAAGAGGCTTGAAGGGCCAATTATTCAACAGGTGCACATGAAGGAATGGAATTTGGAATTAAAAACAACAGAGATTAGGCTATGACCCACACGAAGACGAGATGCAATAAAAACAAAGGAAATAACAAGCAGCAGAAACTCGAGTTCTATAACTCCTAAGGGTCAAAGACCAGAGTCTATGCCACGATCTGCTTAAGCCAAACCAGACAATTTCTACGAAACAAGTGAGGCCAGTGTCCTCTGCGGGGATGAACGGGCTCAGCCACCCTAGGGTCTTTCCTGGGCGCTCGGCCCAGGTAACTCCCTGGTTGGAGAGTAGGGGCCACATGGTCCCAGGCCTGTGCCTCCCCCGAATCCCTTGAGAAAGAAGTTAGCGCCAGAGCTGCCCGGCTCGCGCGTACCAGGGCCGACGCTCAACCCTCCTGCCCCACTTCGGGCTCAGAGCCCAGTTACAGATTTCTGCCGCGACCCCACCACCCCGGTTCTTACCATAGTGAGGCCGGCGAAGCCCCAGCCACATCACCCTTCCGGGCCCGGAGCGGAAGAGGCGTTCAAGCCCCGCCTGCCCTCTGGCTCCCTCCCGCTGTCCGGTTGGAGCTGTCGGAGGGCCGCCTCCCGAGCCGCGCAGCTCGGACGCTACGATAGGCTTTTCTCGGTCGGAAAAGGCGGGGTTTTCGTGACGTCACGACGGCCTGCGGAAGTAGATGATCCTCTCATTGGCTACTGGACATCTTTCTCTGGGAGCGGGCCTTTTGGAGGAGACCGGAAGTGGAGTCACTGAGCGGTAGGTCCGGAAGTGGGTGCTGCCTGTTTTAGTTAACAGTTGTCTGCAGTTCTTTTTGTTTTCTTATTAATTTTACCCTTTATTGTTTCCTTCTCGAGCTCTGCATTGCGCAGATTTTCCCCGACTTCTGTTTCCCTCCCTCTTCCCCCGCAGTTTGTAAATTCCTGGGCCTTCACGTTTGTCGACTGTAGGGTGGCGCCAGGATTTCTCACGTTTGTCGACTGTAGGGAGGCGCCAGGATTTCCTGGGTTTACCCACCGGGCCACCCTCTAACCCCCTTTTGCATCACGGAGTCTTTGCAATGCTGTGTCATGATTGTGGTATTGGCTTGTGTGGAGTAGGCTGCTTGATCTTTTCTCTAACACCATATTTCTTCCACTAATGCTGTTATTTGGTAAGCTGTCCGTGGTGTCGTAAGACTGAAATGTACTTAAGCCTTTTGGTGTTTGGAAAGTACTTTCTGTGGTGACGATTGCAGCGGAGCTATTCTGCCTCAGGGTAGTTGTTAAGCCCTCTAGAGAAGTATACCACCTGCAAGACACATCGTATAGCAACCTTTTCTTGTAATCAGTGTTATTTACTTTCCTCTGATTTTAATAAACTCTTTAGATGAGTCTATTTCTTCCTTATTTTTGTCTTTTAATGTTCTATTTTGTTTGGATTTATTTCATTTATTTATGCATATAGCAGCTGGAGCCCAGCGCGAGGTGGGGGAGTGAGAGGAGTCACCAGAGGCAGTGGGGAGCAGAACTGGCAGATCTACTGAAATACACTGCTGAGGGGAGCAGTGGACGGGTCTGGAGAGGTCTGTGGTACTATGTGGGTCATTTCCCTGGTGGAGGATCAAATTCCTGCTGCTGTGGCTGTGGATAGCTTCATTGAGCTGAGACTTAACCCTTTGCACCACCAGGGCGGCCCCATCTTTTAATATTTTAGATGGAGAAATAATGTACCTTAACTTACTCAGTTTGCATAGTTTTTAGGAATTATTTGTGATTTGGTAGAGTTTTTGCTGTGTCCCAGTAACTCTAGGGGAAAAAATTATAGCAACCCTTCTCCTCCAAATGTATAGTTAAGTATTTCTTAGGCACTGGGAAGTTCTTTTCAGATTGTTAACAATTTCTTTTGATAGTTAGATTCAGCAGATGAGAGGAAAGGAAAGGAAACTGAGGTTTTGAATTATGTCTTACAATGGGCCAAACTATGAGATTTTTCTATAAATAGATCAACGTAGAGATTGCAACATTTGGATTTCTGCTGTGATTACACTGTTTGCTACTGCACACATAGTTGCTTTTATTTTTGCATCATTATTTTACTTTTGAATTTACTGAATTATCAATATTTAACCAACTATACAGTTTAGCAAGTATTTATTAAGTGTTTTTCATTGAATCATGAAAGTACAGTAGAGGAAAAAAATTGGCTGCTTCTTCCAACAATTAAATAGACATGGGAAGAGGGTAATAGAAATGTATAAAAATATAAGGTATACTACCAAAAACATGCCATTTAATCCTCTCCTCTGTAATTGCTTTACATTATACTTCAGACATCTTGCCATTCCAATTTAGTATGACTTAGTTATAGAAATTATGTTGTATTGTGCAGCTTAACAGTCTTGGCTTCTGAAGTAGTAAATAGTTTGCAGACATTATCGTTGCTTTTTTTTTCCTTTGTGAAGATGGTCTTGATCATTGTGAACACTTCAGAGTGATACTTCTGTATGAAACTCAGCCTTAGGCAACCTGTAAAGGTGGAAATCACCATTTACTGTATGGAGTATAGTTAATTTTAATGAACTCTGAAGTACATCTGCTTTAAAATAATGACAATAATATACAAATGCTTGCCAGTTCTTTTAAAGATACTAATAGAGGAATACCAGTGGTATGGATGAGCTGAATATATGTTTATTTTATTCATGTAACAGCAAAATTAATCTGATATGTGGTAAGATCTCAAGGGAGGTGTTAATTGAGTGACATGGTCATTAAGCACATAAACACTCTGCTCTTGGTTTTAACTGCCAAGATCTAATTTAAGAACATACTATCTTATGTTTCTATTTCAAATGTCTCCTTTCTACCAGTTTTCCAAACCATCTCAAATAATTTTCTTACTGCAAATAGACTGTGTCATTTCTTTCTCAAAAATTATGCTCTCACAGCATTTGTAGGCTATTTTCAACTTTGGTTTTGTAAATTCCCTAGAACTCTATGTAAAAGTAGAGTATATTTATATTTTTTTTGTGGAAAGAGTGCATAGACTTCCTTGGTGTTATATTAAATGAGTTTAATACAAGTAAATCATCTAAGTATTTACAGAAAGCACTTAATGAGCATTTTGTGCATACTTCCATTTTCACTAAATTATGAGCCCATTGAGAGGAGATGTTATGATGAAAGGAGATTTAGTTGCATACCTAACCCTCACTAAAAGATTCTGAATGTTTTTATGCTATAAGACCACTTTCTCCTGCTTTTTTTTCTTTTACGATTTATTTATTTATGCGTACAAGAAGGACTTAAAATAGTCAACACCTAGAAATCACTGCTGACACTATATCAGAGCATCTTGTTGAAGAGCCCAGTTGTAGTAAAACTCAAGATAAGAATAGGAAATAGGAATTGGGAAAGAGAGCACATAGAACTCCTGGGGGAATCTCTGTTAAGAGCAATAGGGCCCTCCCTGGTGGTGCTACGGGTTAGGACTCAGCACTGCAAGCTAGCTGCAGCAGCTTCAGTGGAGTTCAATCCCCTACTGCAAGGTGACCCTCATGGTGCCGCAGATTTCTCCTGACCCGCCCACTGTTCCCCTCAGCAGTGTACTTCTTTGGTCTGCCTGTCCTGGTCCCCACTCTGTCTCTGGTGAATACTCTCACAATCTCTGCACCTCTGGCTTGTACCCCAGTTCTGTATGAATAAATTTAAAAGAAAAGAACAATAAATGGGGCTGAAAGTAGAGAAAAGTTAAGGAAGAGAGATGAAATACTTAGGGTTGCACCATGTTCCCATTACATACAGTCACCTAGGACCAGCAACTGGAAACTACAGGCAGAGCTGAGTGGCCAGGTGAAGATACATAACATGGAGAGCAGGTGGGTAGAGAGTGCTCTTGTTTTCTACTGCCCAACTTGTACCCTGGTACTGCTGGGAAGGAGACATGTCGAAGAGATGTGGGTGAGAGATAGTGTAATGGCAGCTGTTATCTTACTGTGATATCTCCTTTATCTAGGACCTGTTTTAGAACCATTTGCCTATGGAACCTTATAGAAGGTTACATGGCTTGTGACTCACTGAAAGCCTCATTAGCTCCACTTCAAGCCGACCTTTTTGGTTGAGCGTTTGCACACGAAGGAATGGGTAAATTGAGGTGTTTTATTAGGAAACTGTTAATATCCCATCTTCTTTTTCTTCCCTATGCACACCCTATCAAAGATCTATCATGCTGGATCTACTACCTTTGTATGAAGCAGAAGGCATGACCCAGTTTTAGAGCATGCAAGTTTGGGGATACCTCTCTGTAAGGCAGTAGTAAAAGACTAGACTAACATACTGTTCAAACAAAATTGTCAAAGGTGCTTGGAGAAAAAATGATTAAAAAATGGGCAGGAGGAAAGGCAAAAAAAGTGAAACACAACCTCAAACTCAGATGAAGGCAGCTAGCTGAGGTTCAGAAATCAGGTTAAGTACAACTTAATAGTAATTTACAGAAAAGTTACAAAGATAATACAGTCTTCACTTTGTAACTTTTCTGTAAATTCATTGCTGTTCCAAAATAAAATGCTTATATAAAATATTGTACCGTGACCTCTTTACTTAAAAACCTGTTACGGCTTCTCATTTGATTCACCGTAAAAAGTCAGCATCCTTGTATTGGCATACAAGCGTCAACATGATCTGGTTCTCTGTTACCACTCTAACCATGTCTGTTCCTATTCTCTTTCCCACATTGTGTCCTAGCCTTACTGGCTCATTCCTTAAACACTACACTCCACCTTAGGACTGAGTACTTCAGAGTACTTCATCTGTTTGGAGTGCTTTTCCCCAGATATCCACACACAAAGTAAATCCTTCATTTTTTCATGTATTTGTGCAAATGCCGGCTTTTCAATAAAGCCTACACCATTTTTCTATGTAAAACAGCTTTACAACCACCTGTGTACATTCTGTCCACCACAACCTGGTCTCTGTACTCCCAGTTTCCTTCACCTTGTTTTATCTTCTTTCACCATAGCTGTTCTCACCATACTGTGTACTACTATGTGCATTTTAATTGCTTGTCTCCTCTATTATGTAGAAAATTTTACAGACTGGAGTTCTCATCTATTTTGTTCCCTTATGGCAATTCCTAAAACACTGTCTAAGGTGGGGAAGTACACGATATATTTTGGTTGAATGAATGAACTTGACTGGATATTTAAATTGTAATTTTTGATTTGCAGTCAGTCTGAAACATTGAATTGTTTATCATTTCCATTTACCATGTTATTTCTTGCCTCCAAGCCTTTGCTTATGCAGATTTTTTTGCCTGGAATAACTTTCCTATCTTTCTTCTTCATTCCTAAATCTTTTTCACCCATCCATTACCCTTTTAAGATTCATATCAGATATAACTCAAAGAAGTGTTCCTTGAAATTGTCAGGGGGCTTATGTGGTACTTTTCAGAGGAACTCCCCTCTGCTTCTGCTTTATAAGGTTGCAAAAATAATTCTTCTTAGGCTTTTTCTCTCTTACTAGAGAACTGGGACTATGTCATATTTACTATGGGATATCAGAGCATGGTACATAGGAATTGCTCAATGATTGTTTGAATGCATGGATGGCAAGACTAAAGACACTCAACTATAAAGCAGTTAGAGTTTTCAGTTTATGCATTATTTTGCTATAGTTTGTTTTTAAGGAAAATAATAGAAGGATAGACCTTTGTGTGTGAGTAGGAGGTAGTCAATGTACTTCATAGCCCTGGGTCATTTGCCCCAGTCCTTTGTGAGGCCATCAGCACTGATGTGAAAGTGAGTTGTGCTTTTCTTCTAAGACACTGCCTAATATCCAGGAACAGAGAGTTATAATTAGCAAGCTTTGTAATGTTAACAAAATTGGACAGCTCTAGAGAAAACAGTGCTATTGAGGCTCTCTTTGCCCTAAAGAAGAAATCCCTGCTGAAATTCCATATCGCTCAAGAGGCACTGGGCCACTGGTGCCCATAGCCATAACTGTTAATTTTTTACTTCAGTGCTACTGGGAAATAGCAGGGTGTTTACAAGATATTGTGCAGATATTCTCCCAATGATATGGAAATTTTCTCTCTCTTTTTTTAAGGTTTATTATTTATGCACTCAAGAGCTGGGGTGCAGGTCAGAGATGCAGATGTGTGTGTGTGAGAGGATTC